TTTGTCTGGCTCTGAATTTAATATAACAAGTTTTTCTGCTCTGATCGTTTTAGCTTATATCACTTACACTTTTTGATTGCTGACAAAAAGGGGGAGAACAAGAATGATATTTTTCAATAACGGATTACTGAGACAAAAAGTCTCAAACATTCTAGCACTCTGATATACTTGAATGTTTTCTGTCTTTGCATAAGTCTACAGGTACAAGAAGTTAATCACCTCTGATACACTGAAGCTCGAAGCTCTGATATTCTGATCTGAAGCTCTGATATTCTGATGTTCAAAGAAAGTCAATAAAGATCTGATCCTGAAGATCTCTTGGAATTAAAAAGGGAAGTAATAAATTCAGGGGGAGTATCTTCGATCTAAACTCTGATATCTCTTTATCCCTTATCTTTGATAACTTCCTAATTAATTATGATACAACTTATTATTTAGTTATCTCTGATACTTTTCACGCTTATTTTCAATTAAAAAATATCTAGTTTTTGTCATCATCAAAAAGGGGGAGATTGTTAGAACAAAGTTTGAATCTACTACCCTAAGTTTAAGTTTTGATGATAACAAAATGCTAAGATACATTAATTGTATGATTCATGTAAGACACATATGCTATCAAAAAATTACATTCTGTTTTACAGAAACTCTGATGGGTATCAGCATGAGAACATCCTCATCAGCATCAGAAAATTGGATATCAACATCAGCATCAGAAGATGTTATATCAGATACCAGAATCAGAAGATCAACCTGCGCTTATGCTGAAGCTTGGTGAACAGATCTACGCTTAACACTCTGGACTCTGATCAAGACAACAATAGTTCATCAGCACCTAAGCAGCGTCAGAATGAGCCAAAGCCAGAACACGCTTAAGTGGCAACGGTACTGTGCATTCAAGATGATTTATTACCAACGGCATCATTCCAGACAAGATCTGCTTAATAAGGAAAGAATGTTATTGGCATTGAAACAGAATTATTACTCCAACATACACTATTTCCAATGCTATATAAACAAGTCAATGAAGATTGAATTGGCTAATGCTCTACAACAATCTACACGCCTAAAATCTATTCATCATCTTCCTCACTCTCAGTTTTCTAAAAGCTCTCAAATTCCTTACTCAATTATTTTAGCAATCTAGTTCTCATAAGCTTAAATTGTGTAGTATCACAGTTATGATAAATAGTTTTGTAGAAAACATTCACACACCTAGATTTCAATTCTTTGTAAGAAAGTATTTCCTTGAGAAACCGGTTTGTGGTTTGCATCAAGAAGGCTCTAGCAGTTGCTAAAGCAGATTGTAATATTCAGTTGAATATAGTGGATTAAGACCTCGTTGGAGAGAGGCGAAATCACCTTGACGGGTGGACTGGAGTAGTTTGAGATCAAATGAACCAGGATAAAAATATCGTGTTGATTGCAATTGATTTCCAGTTTTTACAATTCAACCCCCCTTCTTGTGTTTTTCACTTCTTCATCCATGGTTAAAAGCAATTCCCAAAAGAAGATGAGGTGAAGAGAGAACTTGCTGCAGCCATAAGTTTATTGATCATCATTAGAGCTTCCATGACCTGGTTCATCTTGAGTCTTTAATCAATTATCTTCCTGTTCGAAGAAATTTCTGACCACGGACCAAAGCTTGTAGGTATACCATATGGAGTTATTCCCTAACCGATCCCTGAACAAGTGCAGTAAGAAATCAAAGCTAAACCTCTGAGGAGAACCATGTCTGAATAAGAATCCCCAATCTTTGAGTACCTGTTATGGATGCATGAATATTCATGGAGTGCATGAATAGATGCCATGTTATGTCCCTTCATTCCCAAGGAATTTACGTGCTTTGATTTTGATTTTACGTAAGTAAAAGATGGAAAAGTTTGGCACAAGGCTTACAAATACGATTCCTTGGAAATCACAGAACATGTATGTTAAGTATGTGGTTAACCATGTTATGTATGCACAGATATGAGATCAAATGGGATCAAGGTTCCATCATTTCCAAATATGATTGCTGTGTTATTCTAAACCATATGAATATCATCAAATCAAAGGTCCGACATAGCTTCCGCACATATAAAAGCCGAGTACTATATAGATCTAAGTAGCATGAGATCAAGGCTTCAGGAACATCAGGTACAGTTTGAGCATTTCTGAGTATGCTGGGAATGCCAAGATCAAAGGCTTGAATGAACTTCCAAGTAAGCAAGTCAGGAACTCAGAAAATAAATCTGAGAACCATATGGTCACCAACAGAACACCATATGCATAAGTCATTAACAGAAGTCCATAACATGATCATTAGAACCACTAATCACCATCTGATCATAGTCTCCATCTGAGCATGAGTAACCATTTGAACATAGCACCAACTGTACCTGTAATGACAAATCCCTCCCCACTCACGGGTGAAGACTAGGTCAGGGTAAGACAATGGTAACTCGAAAATCACGGGTCCGCCTGAAAGTACTATGGGCTTACCCACAGACGTGGGTGCCGATAGTAATTCATTTGAACCTCATCCGAGCGTGGTATATGACAAGACTGCACTAATCGGACCACGTCCTATAGCCGTCATGCCCCCACTCTATTCCTAGTGTCCTAGTGCACTCTGGCCTGGGTACTGGGCCTTTTACCTCAATAGTGACATCCCCACCCAACATGGAAAACAGAGTCCAGCATAATAGATAACAAATAGGGAAAGCAATAAAATGCAATGCAAACTTATGCTCAGGCAAACATGTACAAATGAGTAAACTGAAAGCATAAAAATAAACACCCAAAGAAAAGAAAGCAAGAGCTAGGAGCGACTCTGGGATGGACCAGCATTTGGTCGACCAGTTCCCCAGTGAAGTCGCCAGCTGAAACAACCGGCTGAAAATCATCAAGACAATGAAGTCGCCATCGAACGTATTTTATCCCACGGGAAGGAAAAGGTAAACATCGAGAAAACCTGAGAAGGGTGAAATCAAGGTCGAACGACCAAGAGATAAGGGTAAGGGAGTCAGTTACGCAAGGGGAAGGTATTAGCACCCCACACGCCCGTAGTACTCTACGGTATCCACTCTTGTTGTCTATCTTATGGGTGTGTTTAATCTATGTTTAGTGTTTATTACTGCTAAAAGGAGAATGCATGCAAAATAAAGGAGAAAATAATGTATGGAAAATAAAAGTTGTGCTCGTTCGGGCCCTACCCCAATGCCTACGTATCCTTTTTGAGGAATCAGAGCAGCCGTAGTTCGGCTAACAATTTTTTGTTTGTTTGTATTTCTTATTGAACAATATTAATTTCGCCTTCTGCCGCAACTCGACCTTTGGAGATTTACGCGTCGGCACAGAAGTGAATTAACATGCTCTCTTGAAAAGGTTTGAAGAAAATGTGCCTGGGCGCACAAAAAAGTTTGAATTTGTTTGTATTTGTAATGAACGATATTAATTTCGCATTCTGCCGCAACTCGACCTTTGGAGATTTACGCGTCAGCACAGAAGTGAATCAACATGTTCTTTCTGAAAAGAATTTTGCAAGGAAGGCCCGAAGGCAAAAAGAGTTTGTATTGGTTGATATTTTTGCTTGTAGATAACAACTAGTTAATCTCAAGAGAGAGATTTGAACCATGTCTCTACTTATTCGTGAAATGATTCTTTGAGACTTGAACCACGCCGAAGCCTAGAATAAGAGAATAATAAGGTCGAGAAGAAACCCGCTTATCATCTCACATACTTAACGAAGATATGATTCTCGTCAGTAAATTTTTAGTATTTTGAAGTTTTGAAAAGAAAAAGAAGTTTTAGTTTTAGATGCGTATACAAAAGGGGGAAAGAAAGTCACAGGAAGACTAGCCTATTTTTAAACCTAATTTTATCATGCATTGTACGACCTAAAGTTAGAATTTTAAAGGAATTCTACCTAATGTTTGCATGCTTGGATTGCAGTAAAGCCCTGTTTCTCAAGATTTTTAGAAAAGCAATAAAGTACGAGAATGAGGAATAAAATGAGGTTGCGATGATACCGAACGGAGAAGGTCTGTTGCCTCTTCGAAGCCACGCTAGTGATAGGAAAACTCTACAGAAGTTGCTCTGCATGAATAATCAGAAAATTAACCTCCAAGCATTCCATATCGCGAAAGTTAAGTCAACATTCTGCCATAAAATTTTAACTAAAAAAAGATAATGAAAACGATTGTTAAACATAAAATAATAGAAAGCTTTAATAAAATTCTAAAGAAAAGTCCTAGAGAATTCTAAAAATATGCTACTCTTTTTGTATATCATTTTTATCATGTAGAAAAAATTTCAAACAAATTTAAAATCGTTCAAAATAAACTAAAAAAGGAAAAGAGTCCCAAGGGGGTGCAAATGGAATGCAGTAAGTGTGCATAAGCAGGGCGCTAGGGCCCATCAGGTTGAATCTACAACCCAATTTTTTTTACTTATAAACAACTAAATAAAAAATTAAAAAAATTAAAAAAATGATGTTGGGCTTATTTCCAGAAAATCCAATAAGCGTCTTTTTGTTCTAATCTCTGCAGGCTTTAAAAAAAGCATCTGATGGACTTAGGAAGGAGGTGATCCGATCCAGAGTGAGCCCAATTCAACAACCAATTCACATTTTCAGCATTATTGTTTTTATTTAGATTTTATGTAAAAAGAAAATTAATTAAAATGAAACATATAATTAATAAATAAAAAATAGAAAAGGAAGAGGGTGAAGGTATTGGTGTCATCGTTGTTTAGGGTTGAAAAGAGAGTAAAGGTCCATCTCCCTCGTTCCCATCTGAATCGTCGTCGTCTCCCTTCTTCGTCAATAAGCTGAACAAGATATGTGGATTTCGTTGCGTCTTCACCATTTTTGGAACATCATCGGAGTGACGCTGAAAAGCAATTGGAATTTGAGATCGAAGTGAGTTCACACTGAAGGAGTTGCACCGTCGAAGTTGGATCGGAGATGTAGTTGAGGTGAATATTGTGACGTTGAGCCGAAACAAGGGTGGAGAGAGATGATGAGCCGCCGCTTGCATGAAAGAGAACATGTTGAAGAAGATCGAAGCAACGAAGGTGATGATTTTCGTTGGAGTTTGAAGCAAAGATCGAAGGAGATAGAGGTGGCTTTGTTCGTTTCACGGAGGAGGCGCAATTTTACACCGCTCATAAGAGTATTGCGCGCCTCTCAGCTTCGGTTTCGATGCATCTTAACTTTTGGATTTCGAAGCCGCGATTTGACCGTGTCTGCACCTCAACTTCATCTTTGGAATTCAAAGGTATCTTTCAGCTTTCGTCTTTTCCGTTTCTGAAAACCACTTCTTCTTCTTCGATTTCTTAGGTAGCGTATTCTTCTTCGAATTCGTTTCTGTGACGTGTGATGTATTGTTGGTTTCAGATTGGAGATGTTGTTAACGATGTTGCAGTAGATAGATGACGTTGAGTACGCGACGAAGATTTGAGAATAGTGAGAATTTTCCGTTGCTAGTTGAAGAAGAAGATGATTGCTGAAGAAAAGGATGATTGTTGGTTCTGCAATGAAGATGATGAAAGATCATGAGGAGTTGCCGAGAGGGATTCGGAAGGTGAGTATTCTTTTCTATTTTTGTGAACTTCTATAGAATAATGATGTCTAAATCTAGTATTTTTTGTGAAGGAATGGTGAAATGAAGATGCAGAAAAGTTGCAGGGGTGAAGAGTTCTGCATTTTTTCGTGTTATAGAGAAAGATGACGGAAATCTCGATGCAGTTCAAAGAGAGAGAGGTGAGTTCTTGATCTTTTATTTTTCTGTATTTTGTGTGTAAAGATGGATCCTTCTTGTTTTTTCTTGGTGAATCAATGATTGTGTATCTGAGACTCAATCTCGATATGTATATATCTGCAATCTCTGAATTTTTATTATGTAGAGGAAATCGTGAATGAAAACCCTCTCTGAGTTTTTTTTGTTTTCTGATGATGATTCTTTCACAGGTGAGGAATGGGGATAACTGAATATGTAGAAGAAGATAGCAATCAAGGTTGATATAGATTGATGCTGGAAGAAGCAGAGGTTGGAAAAATGGATCCAGGCGGATGAAGATTCAAGATGTGAAAGTGAAGATCCCAGGAAAATTATGAATAAATGATGGTTGAAGGAAGAGAAAAAAAGTAGAGAGGTTCGTTGCCGATTTTTGTGAATTTTTTTATTATGAATGAATCTCTCCCCTATTTGTAGTCTCCGAATTTCTATTATATAGAGGGCCGAGAGTTTGTTATGGATTTTTGTTAGCAATTAGGAAGTTAGTAAATCTGTTAGAAAGCAGTTAGAAAAGTTTGTTTGGAATTATGAATTTCTGTTTGGCAGTTTGTTAGGAGTTTGTTAGGATGCAGTTAGAAAATCTGTTAAGAATAGTTAGTTGGCAAGCTTAAGGTTATGTCATTGGCTTGTTAGTTTTGGTTCTGGGATACCCCTACTCATGCCCAATTTGGTTTCATTTCCTGTACAGATAGCAACTCCACATGCCCACTCAGTATTTCTCAAGTAACATGACTTGTGTTTTTAATGGCTAAAGGGCATACATCATTGTCAATAAAAGGGGGGTACAAACGCATGTTTGCATCAAATCTTCTGACGTCTTTATCTGGACTGGGACACTCAATTACACCCTTAATTTTGTGTAATAGTTCATCAATTCCCATGCAAGCAGGAGGTATGACCCACGTCTTTAAATCAGTTTCACCATCCAGTACAGAAGTCTCTACATAGCAAACTCCTTGGGGATCAGACGTGCCAATCAAAACAAAGCCACGGGGCGCTTCATCATTTTCACGTAGCCATATTATATTACCTACATGAATATCCTGGGCTTGAATAAGTTTCTTGACATAGATTTAGTAACAAGAGCATGAACAAAAGTAGTTGCAATTGGAAATGTGTGATTATGGTTATTGTTGGACATTGTTCTGAAGCTGAATTTGATTTTCCTTTCAATTGCAGTTAGTTGAATAATGTGGACCTATTCTCTGCCAAAGTTAATGTATGCAGGTTGTTCCATATATGTGTTTAGCATTTGGTTTTGGTTAGTTAATGGTTTTTCATGTATCAAGTAATTTGTATGAGCATAGGATATTTTGGCATGATTGCTTGTATTGACTTGGATTTCTTTTTGTATGAATGTGCAGGTCATGAACTGAAGATGAAGAACTTTGGCATGGCATGGAATTGGAAGTTTACTCATGGAATTTTAGCACCTTTAGGACTAAAGAATTTTGTTCAAGTGTATTTTGTAACCGTTTTTTTTCTTTGTAGAATATTGGTGTAATGGGATTGTAATGATTTTATAATGAATGTTTGGTTTGGATGAACTTGAAATTTATAGTGTGAAATGTAAATGACCTTTGAGCTTGAAATGTTGGGTGATGAATTTTAAGGACGGAGTTTAAATGACAAAGACTTGAAAAAAATGCTTGAAGACATGAAAGCATCAAATTTTCTTGTAAGGTATTGTTACACTTGAATGAAATTGAATGGAATTGGATAGTATTTTCTTGAATCATGAATGAAAGGGTTCGAATAAACTTTAAACACGTGTGAACTTGAATCTGGAATAACGATGAACATCTTTGTAATGTGTATGAACTCCGACTTGAAACAAGACCTCACAGTCTGTACTTTACCTTCCAAGAAACTCATATGACCAATACTTAAGGCTCTTTGTCAACTTTAATCCAATCAAACACTTTCGAACATCTTGAACTCAAATCAAACTTCAAATCCAAATCACACTTGCATTCTCAATGAACTCCTAACTTCCATCTTGAACCCAAATCAACTTGAATGACAAATAATTTGAATAGTCAATAAGATCTTGATCCTAAAAAATTCACAACCTTGCCTTTTGTATCATGCCTCATATTCCACGATTCAATCCACAAGTCTCTTATCTTGACAAAGTCCTTCCTTAATTGACGACCTTAAATCATCAAAGATGGATGTAAATGATAATGAAAGAATATGATTAAGATTAATATGAAACCTTATTTCCCTGATCTTCAATTACTTGAAATTTTATCAATGAATAGAAACCATGATTTTTAATGAAATTTTCCTTTTCTGAACCAATATTTCTTTTCCTTTACCATACCATTCTTCAAATGCAACTAGAATTCCCAACACATATTAGATGAAAATTCAAGGGAGACCTTGGTCCCAAAGTTAATTTTTCAAAGCTTACTTTAACCGAAGTCAACATATCTTATCCACATATCTTTGAAATTGGCCCATGCTTATGCATCTCAAGATAAGAGCTTGTAAGCCCATCAACCAGGTATGCCATGTTGAACAAAACCCTGCCTTGAATGCCTTGAACCTTGAATTACCTTGCATGAATTCTTCCATGAGAAACCTACTTCAATCCAAACCTACTCGCATCGCAGATAACAAATGACAATGATGAGGACAATGATTTCCTTGGTTAAGAAGAAATCTATGAATTCATATCTTAGGTCATGAACCACGCTTCACAATTCAATCCTCAGCCCTTAGCGATCGGTTATTCCAACTTGAGATTAGTGTCATAAGGAACATCTTACAGATGGATGATAAAGTCTGAATCACAGAAGAATTCCCTTGATGTGAAACCCTCACAATCTTGATTCCTTGTTTAGACGCACAGAGAAATATCTGGATAAAACATCTTTGAACCATGATTCATCAAAACCTAAATTGATTAACTGAGGAGTAGATGATTGTCATGTCACAGTTGTTAATCCTAATCAAATGACAAGCATACTTATAGGAAAGTACGCCATGATTCGAAGCCCACATATGTTAGGTCACGTCCTAGAGTTCTTGACTAGAATGACCTACAATCCGTTGTTTATCAGAAGATATTATCCCTGTAACTTGGTGAAGGAGAAGTCCAAAAATGAGCCTGAAAAAAAAACCTAATTCCACAGCTTGCTGCCTGAATAAGAAATCATCCTTTATTGGATACGAGCGCCTTAACCACTGTGAAACCCTAGTATCACACAACCACTGAGCTTTGAACCTCAGAGTTATATTGAATGAAATGTATGCCATGTTAAAGATCTAATGAAATAGATGCAAATGAATGCAAAAGTCTAAGCCAAAATAAAAGAAATTAGGAGGGCAAATTTTGGGGTGCAACAGGTGGCCCTTGCTTTAATTTTTCTAGATCTACCTCACTCTCTTTGATAGTTATAGGGTCACTAGATGTCTCTGGATCGTCATCATCCACTTCGACATATGCTACTCTTTCTCTTCGATGATTTTTGTTCGCCTTAGCTTTTTCAGCCTTAAGGTGTTCTACCTGTCGAACTCTATCGGCCAATTGAGCCATATTTATCAGGTATTAAGTATCTAATTTCTTCCTAATGGAATAATCTAGACCCCCTGCAACCATTTCGACCAACTCATGTTCAAGCACTTGTGTAAAGCACCTGGTTTTGAGCAGTCAAAATCTGTTCAGATCCTCATCAATTGGCTCAATGAATCTCCGCTTCACACTAGCCAGTTCTTTCAAACTTATTTTGTTCTGTCCCATATAGAATTTGTTGTACCCCAAAATTTGCCCTCCCATATTTCTCAAAATATTTCAAGAAAGATCCTCAAGTTGCTCAAGGAAGTCCAAGGATTGACCAGACAAACTCTCTCCTAAGGCAGTTTACCTCAAATTTGGGTTTCATATTGCATCAAGATACTTGCGTCCAAGGGATACCAAATGCTCACCATTGTCCTAATATGTTCTCAAGATCATCCATGTCAAGTTTCAAGCCCTACAGAGAAAGTTTGCTCAGTCAATTGCTCAAAAGCCTGAAAATCGACTATGCTAGGGCAAAAGTCAATTGTGGCCCACATACAGTCAAACTTCAATATTTTTGGTCAACATCCTCATTTTGAAGTATATTTCATCATTTTATCAAGGGTTGATCGTGATTCATCAAGGATTACTCATAATTCATCAAGAACCAAAAGTTGCTAAATTAAGGTTTTGTAGGGAAAGTCAACTCAACTTTGACCAAGCATAACTTTCTCATACTTTATGATAAATGACCCATCCAAATCTCATTTTGAAAAGGATGAAATTACCTACAATCCATCTTCATCTCGCAAGTTCAAAATATGCACTCAAAAGAAGTTATGAATTTCGACATTATAGGTCATTTTAAAAAGTCAACAAAAACACCTTTTTTGTAAAAGCTTCATACATGAACATGGAATACCAAATTGAGAAGAGACCAAAGGGGTTGCTTAGATGACATCTCAATATTTCTAAAAAGTCCAAGAACACCTTCAAAGAGTCAAAATTGAGGAAGTTATGAATTGGTGAAGTTGACCCTTTTTGCAAAATTGTTAAAAGTCAACTATGCCTCAAATTGCAATTTTTGCTAAATGGGTCTAACTGTTTGCACTTGTTTTGAGTTGGTAGCATGGT